CTAGGCAAATCACGTGGAAGAGGAAGGATGTGGACGACGTATGATCTAAAAACCGGTTTTACACATTTGATCGTTCTTTCCCCACAACTCAGACTCTTTCTTTCAACACGCTGGAGCGCAACCCTGCCATTGATGGTTTTGCTTTCAAGAGGGATGATGGGGAAAATCGAAGACAAAAATGGAAACGTATCCTTTGAGACGAGCGAACGGCCCCCGCCTTGTCCGCTCGTGATCAAACAGTTCCCATTCAAAAACAAACATCCGTCGTTGATTGCAGAAGCTGTCGAATATTTTCAGGTCGAACGTGAAATGATCACTGGGTATTTGAACCTTCCCCAGTTGGACTTTGTCAAGATGAAGGGTCTTCTGGAGGGTTTGTGGTTGCTAAGGATGACGAAGTGAACCAGATGAACAAGATCCATGAGATAAACGGTCAGGTCAGCGAGTTCAACGATGTAAACGAGATGAGTGAGCCAGACGAAGGCCAGATGATGGAGATGAATGAGATGAAGGGAGAAGGAAAGGGAGGGATAAAAGAGTAACAGAAGATAGGGAAAGAGAAGACAAAGAACGAAAGAGGGAAACTTCACTGTCTGGCGGTCATCGTGGAAGATGGAATGGGTAAAACTTGTTCTAGTCAATTGAAGAAACTTTCAATAGAAGAGAAGTGAGTCATATTTTAATTGTTGGTCTTTCCTTACTTTGCACTTGCTCTTTGCTCTGTATTCTTTACTCTTTACTCTACCCTTGACTCTTCACCCTCCACATCTCACTCTCCACCCTCCACATCTCACTCTTCACGCTTCACGCTTCACACTTCACTCCCTCCCTCTTTCTCAACATTATCACTCACAGCCCCTTGTCCCCATCTCAACCACGCTCGAACGAGACTGACAATCACAGAAGCGAGATCATATCACATTACGAAATCTTGTCCAGACATCGGATTTTACACGGAGATGCTCATCCACATAATTGGATCCGAGTTTCCCAATCATCTCAACCATCACCATTTCCACTTGCGTCCAAACCATCTAAAAGAAATCGCAAGATCCATAGTGGAAGAAATCAACGTCGCTTTTGAGAAAGATGATGTTTATATCTTATCAGCTCCCCAGACGGTTTAACCTTTCCATATTCTTATGTACTGTATGCCTGTTGGGGGGGGAAGGGTGGGGGGGGGGGGGGCGGTGGGTTTGAGGTGAACCGAGCTGGCATAGTGACATTACAATTATACGGATTTCATCCAACATGATCAAACTGCTGAGATCCCAAAAGACAACTTGAACGTCATTCAGAGTTCGAAGTTTGGAGAAATCGGTAGGGTTTGTTCAGATGAACGCTTCTGATACTCCTGGTGTTAGGACTTTGAGGATTATTATAGGTTGTCGGGATTGGCTAAGAGTGGTTTTGGTTGGCCCGAGAGGATGGGAGTGGTTGATTTTGTCAATAGGTTAGTCGGTTTTATAAAAGAAATTCATAATCTCTTTGGCTCTCTTTGGTGACAGTACTGCAATTCTCATCTACCCTTTCTTCAGTCATTTCTCGAGCCCAGTCCTCATTCTTTCCCTCAAATTGTCCGTCCGTCGCTCCATGTTGCTTGCTGTTCGTTGTCACTATCCAAACTCCACCCCACCTTCAAAGTCATGAAATAACCCCCTCCCCACACACACCTCTCTGGACTATTGCTGACTTTACAGATACAAACATTATCCCACTCAACCCTTCCCTACCGAACTCACTCCCACCGACGACGACGACGACCACCAATCAGTCGATTTCCATTCTCAAGCTATGACAATCCCTGAATACCTCTCTCTTCCACTGAAAGATGAATATAAATATTCGATCAGGTCTGATACTGTGTGTATGCAGTTACAAGTCACGGATCTCTTATCACGTACTTTACGTCACTCTAGAACCCTTCAGAAACATCAACATACACATGTACAGGTGGATTCGCAAGGAGAAGACGTTGATAAACACAACGATGCGGAAACAAAAGATGTGGATGTGGAGGTAAATTCGGAAATACAAGGTGAAGATTCAACTTTCTATGAAGAAAAATCAATCATTCAACGTGAATTATTAGGGAAAGATGTGTTGAGTAACACCGTGAAAGATGAAATGAATTCGTATCGGACTTGAGGGATGAAAATGCAGGGCAAGTTGGAAGAGACGTTGGAGAGTTTGGATGAGAGGGTTGGACAGTTGGAGGGGGTTCAAAGATCGATTGAAAGAGAATCAAGTTTAATTGAACGGGGTTCAGAGTCGACTCGAGGAGAAACATGTTCGCTTGGAAGAACATCAAATTCAGTTCAAGGAAACTCAGAATCAACCGATCGAAAGTCGTATCCGATTCAAACAAAGTCAAAGTCGAATGAACAAAACCCACCAGGCACTGACTGAAACTTCGAGTTGAATTGAAAGAGACTTCAAAGTCCACTGGACAATAGACACTGAGAACCACCTGAACGAGACTCAAAACCAAATCAAAAACACCCAAAACCAACTAACAAACATGTTACGGGGTAACAACGAATCGAGAGGACTCTATCGAGTTCGACGGATTAGGACAGAGGAAAGCGGGAGTTGGAGGCAGTGCTGCAGTAGGTAGGGACGGGTTTTCCCTTTTCGAGATTTCCCCACTGGGTTTGCTCAAAAGCGGTTTTTCACCTGTCCGAGTATGTACATAGACGCTTGCAGTAGGAACTGAGAGGAGGACACGGATACCCGTAGACAGTATATAGTACAATCAGCAAAGTACCAACTTTGCTGATTCTTCAATATCATTCTTTGGCTACATCGATTGCAGAGGAGACACGATCCATTAGCACCAGAGCCCCTAGATTTCCACGAGACCTCCATCGAGTTCGACCCAACCTGCGACCTAGTCGTCGTGTTTCCAGTACCGTTACAAAACACCACCGAAACCCTCATCTCCGAATCGAATACCCTACAAACCCAAGCATCCCAAAACCTCGCACTCAATTCCCTTCTCGCGACCGAAGAATCCAACCCTCGATCAACAAAGAGAAGTTGGGATCATGGGAGAGAGAAATTGATGAGACAACTGAGGTTTGCAGAAGAACGTTCACAAAACGAGGATCCAAATTCAATTTCCAGACCAAGAAAAGAGCCAGCAACCTTTAGAAGACACAAACGAACAAGACACCTACACTCGAAAAGAAGCTCTGGAGAATCTAAACAAAGAAACAAGATTCTCTACGAACCAATTGATAGGATTGCAAATCACCGGTCAGGTCGCTAGGTTTTATGGATGTTTTACCAATCCGGTACGGAATGTTTTTATGGCTGTTTATGTCACGACCTGTCCCTAGCAGATCTCTAAGACACAAGAGACAGGTGGACTGAAGTAGTTTACAAGCTTGAGCTACAAGGAACGAAGTGTAGCTCGTAGACTTGTGAAGCTGGTCGGACAGCTGAGTGACTCGGAAGGATCTGGCAAGTCGAGATGATGAGGAGAGGGGTGTCGATAGCGAGGGAAGGTATGTTGAGGTCGAAGTCGAGTTGCAAGGTTAAGTCGAGATCTTTGAGATGTGGCAAGAAAATATATTGATCCTTGAGAAAGAGGATCCTACAAAGGGTTTATATAGACATTCTTCTTGAACAGATGGTGTCTCCAATTTGTCCCCTCTTCCTCCCTCGTGTACCATCTGCCTATACCATTTGCCTATGCAAATGTTTCTATACCATTTGTATATCCCGTTTGTCTCCTACCACTTGTACTATGCCATTTGGTTACTTAGCATGTACAGTTTGCCCTTCTATCATATGGGTTACGACAGGGTCGTAACAGTTTACGACGATTGTGGGGATAGAGTATCAGATGGTTTGGGTCTAAACGATTTGAGACCGGTTCCTCAGGGTGTACGCTGGGTTTATTGTTATTTTCCTTTCGAGTGATTTGGTTTTGCACATGTCGCTTTCGTTCTCAATCTATCTACCTATCTCACTTTCGTCCATCTATATATCTCTATCTCCCCTTTGCTCCTTACACCCTGAGATGTTAGCCGATAGAATCGGGCCAGGACGGCCGAACCGCCGTTAGAATTACCCCTTCCGTCGAATATTTCTCCGTTCAACTTATCCTCTGAACTTTATTCGATCGTCTCTGGTTTTATGAGTGTGAGTGGAATGTGATAAGTATAGAGACATGTAGAATTGATGCATGCTCTTTTTCCCCTCTGTATTACCATCTAATTATTAGCAAACATGAGATAAATCCTTTGTCCACTCATACGTTGACTGTCTTCTTCTCGAACGAGTGTAGGGCAAGCAGCCCCTACTTTTGGCACCCATCCCTGTACCTTGCCCTCCTCTTCGACTCTCGACTATCTTGGTTGCTGAACGTATGGCCCGTTGCTTTGTTTACGGTGGATGTGACTGAGTTGAGATCTCCCAAGAGCGATGCCGTCTTCCCCGATCTGAAAGGACCGGGGAGCTGGAAGTTTGTTGATTCACCCAGGTGCTGGATGGCTTCTGTGGAGCGGGCAGAACTCCGACATCTACCAGTACCTAGTAAGATGAAAGATGATGGGTCGGAAGCAAGAGGAGCGTATGTAAGAGGAAGAGCAGGCACAGGTGACGGAGTGACATAGCTTGAGTAGATGTGATAGAATGTGTCAGGTTGTGGGGATAGATAGCGAGGTAGGTAGGTAGGTAGGTACGTTGATAAGGGCTAGTCTGGTTGAGAGGATGACAGAGGTTGACTGGAATCAGCACAAACCATTGACCGCTCTATCGTTATCCACGTTGGATGTAACTTTTCCCACCTCGACATGACTTGCTTGCCTTGTTTTAGCTCCACCTTTTCCTCACATAATGCACTCATCTCCACCCGGCCTTCTTCTAACAACAGGGTCTCATCTAATGTCAGACCTGTCACGTTAGCCGAGCACTGACGGTTCAGAAGCAATCATTCAGAGTGCACACAAGGCTACGGATGTCGGGCGTAATCTATCAAGCTCACGACGGTTTGAGAGGCTCAACGTGAGATTTTTGACAAGAGTGTATGTTTGGTCATTCATCTTGATGCGAGTGTTGAAACTCTCAATGGTGAAATATGCATGATACACCCAATCTCTGTGCATTTTATGCATCCTGAACTCTGTAGGATCATTCTACATGTCTTACATCTTCATAATTTGCAATATTGATGAAGTGTAGGGATTTGGGTGAGTTGTGACTGGATTTGGGTGAAATGGCCAAATTTCTGTCGGGTTAATTCGAGGTCCGTCGCGATTATCCAGTTTCGCCTTGTTGTTGATTACCATGATCTGCTATCCCCACTTCTGTCACCCGCTCCCCACTCTTGATCGACACAGCGAGCCTCGGCTTTGCTGAGGCGAAAGACAACAACATGACCCCCAACATACTGGGTGGTGGGGTAGGAGGTTGGTAGGCTGGCACTCTTCCATCCAGAACCAACTGACAATCAGCTGCGGGATGCGGTCGAGGTAGAGAAGAGGGAAGTTCGGGTTAACCGGTACCGAGCGAGGAGAATAGGTTTTGGAAGCGGTTGTGCGGATTGCTTACTGTTTTCGCTTGACTGAGCTTGTTTCCAAGACATCCCTGATCTCTTCCCTTTGTAGATGGGAACATCCGTTTCAGTTCGGAAGTTGGCATTGCTTCGCCATCGCTGGAGGTTTCATGATCATCGACGGGAGTTTGAGGAGAATGTGAATGTGTGGATAAGCCAAGGGCTTGAATATGAAGCTTCGGCGTCGTCCTGCGTGTCAGCAACCAGATACTACCGATGGCCGTGATGACTTACTATCTCGAATTGCTGAGTGTTCTTTGCACAAAAGCAAGCGACCCCTCGCACAGTAACTCCCGCCAAGTGAGTTGGAGTCTGTCCGTTGATCATCTGGCCACGTCCGTTGGATGGAAGCATCCCTGTTTGAGACCTTTATTGTCAACTATTGTACGTTTTTTAAGAGTGACGTACCCAGGCAACAAACATTTTCCTTCTCTCTGCCAGATCTTTTCCCTGATAGATATGTCTCCTGGGTAGTCCGTTCGGCGGGATTCCCTGGGGAGAAGAATGACAATGGAGTATGTCTGGTTGTCAGCAGACTTACTATGAGAAAACTGACTGGAAAGTTACAAGAGCGGATGAGTGCATGTCGAACCAGCAAATCTCTCGTACGGTTGGTTGTCAACAAGACACGTTTACGATACACGACATAAGTTTTCTCTGACGCACTCATACACTCGTACTTGGGAGTTTCACTAGTGACGTATGAAGGGGCGGTGAAGGTTGGTACGTGAGAGAAAGGTGCGACGGGTAAAGGTCAGGCTGGAGAAGGTGGGATTGTTACGTGAGATACTGCGGATTCCTCGGAAGAGATCACATGTGAAATGACGATGGATGTTTTGAGGTGAGATGACGAGGGTCCTGCGGGTAAAGGTGTCATGGATGGTTCAGATTTATCGGGTGAGGGTGGGGTGGAGATTGGGACAGTAAAAAAGGTGGTGTGATAGAGGTGGGAAGAGAGGAAAGTGAGGGTGGATTGGCGGGAGCGGAGCTGACCGGTAAAGAGAGGGTGGATAATGTGGATAAAGTGGATGGGGAAAGTGAGGGTGGGTCGGTCGCGGTGAGGCTGACTGGTAAAGATAGAGTGGACATAGATGATAAAGAAGAAAGTGAGGGTGGGATGGGAGGGGAGCTTGGTGGGAAAGGGCTGGGAGGAGCCGAGGACGAGAGGGTATGTGTATGAGGGGGTATACCAAAGAAGGTCCTCCAATGACTTGGGACCTCCGCCTCCATATCTTGCTCAAAACTGTCTTCCGCACCAGGTAAGTACTGGTTTGGGGGAGGTGGTGTGTGAGGTCCTCGGGGGAGATCATCAGATAAAGCTCCCCCATCGGAGGGGCCGGATGGTTGGGTGGATCCAGGGGGGCTGGAGAAGGGAGATACGGAGATGAGACAGGGGTCGGACTGAAGAGGACGTACAGGCGAAGGGGACGGGGGGTCTTGTTGAGCGAACCTGAAATACTCAAGCGGTTGGGGAGGTGGAGATGGTAGACTCCAATTTGAGTTCTGGCAAGGTCAGCATGAGTACGATCATTCAGTAAGTTAGTGAGGTAGTACCTGGATATCTTGTGTTTCACCGGACTCGTTACACATGTTGGAGTTGTAAATGGTCAGCTGGTCAAAGTTGTGGATATGTGATCAAGTAGTGGTCAAACGAGACAACAAAAGGTGACGAGATGGTACAGTGTAAAGTTTCAACAGCTGGAATCGGTATTGACGTCATCTTCAATGTCATCTCTTGATGGCGTCACCAGATGCCCAGGCACAATTCCGAGTGTACGAAGAATGGACGTATCTCGTATGGACTGCCCATGATGGATAGATGATGACGACATTTCCAGTGGCCAGTGAGATTGATTGTGCGGGGCTCCTCCTCCTCTGCTCTGCCACATGGGGAATTCCCACTCTTATTCTCTTTTTTCCAGTTAACTTTTTCTCTTCATTCGGGGTGGGTTCGTGTCTCATTTTTCTACACTTGTTACACTCTTATCTCTCTTTCTGCACGATTTCCCTTCCTGTCCAGCTTGTAGTTCATGATGTGCATCATTCAACTCACTCTGATTTGGTTTTCCTATGATACCCTGGCTGACGGGATAGATCATCAATCCTCGACTTGTCAATATGCCTTCTTCATCTATCATTGCTTGGGTACGGGGGCCAATCTTCGCCGGTCTTTTGGCGGTGATTGGAGATCAGCTGATTTGGTGAACTGGTGAACGAGGTGAGTGACATTCTGGGCGACTTTGTTCCTGAGGGCTACAAAATGGTCTAGTTTGGTAGTTCCTCCCATTCCGTCTCCTCTGTCCTTTGCTGATGATCAGTCTTGCATCAGTTGTACTCCCTACCTTCTGATCTCCTACCCTATGTATTATTTCTCTATCTGACTGCTTTTGTTCCTCATGGCGGTTTACTACCAATCCTCAAACTCGTATTGATTTTTGATTGTGCAGAAAATGTTTTGTCATGGTTCACGACAGTTGTATCTTCGGTGAGTTTCTCCTTTTCTTCAGGTGATTATCAATCCCCTCTTTATGACCCCACGAAATCGTTTTTCCCATCAGAGAAATCGTAATCGATCATTCCTTCTCTGTCGTAGTTGACAAGTATCATACCGTCTTTACCATCGGTCGGTTGGTCGACATGTATTGACATCAGGTTCATCTCATGTGGTATTCCAACCAGAGGTTTCGTAAGTACATCTGCTCTCTGAGAGACAGTGCTGATGTATCTCAGTTCAATAACTATGTTACTGACTAGATCTCGTATCACATGATGTCGTATGTCAATGTCTTTTGTCCTCTGGTGAGTACCAGGTATCTTCGCTAGTAGGATCAGTCTCTGGTTGTCGCAGTTCAGTGTGGTAGGATTGAGCTGATTGTAGCCTATCTCTTTCAGCAATCCTCTCTACCACATTGCTTCCTTTGCTGCTTCCAACATCGCAATGTACTCTCCTTTTTACTGTCAATGACAATACTGTTGCTGGTCTTTCATGACTCCTTGTTATTGGTGGGTCGTTCATTATGAATGTCCAACCTGTCGTTGATTGTCATGTGTCTTTACAACTTGCCCAATTGGTGTCCACCCTACCTGCAAGATTGCTAGGTTCTCCGCCAAGTCAAATACCGTGTAATCTGGTGGTTCAATGGTAATATTTATCACCTTTATACCTTCTTCCCGTTCCTTTTTTGTAAGCTTGGTGAGTTACCTTGCTAGCTATGACGCTGAGTATGATTTGTCAGGTCGTGTGCATTTGGCTGACCACTCTAGACATCCTATCGACTCTTGATATGGTCGGATTTCGACTCCTACCTCAGATCCTGTTGTATCCTTTACCGTGGTGGGGGATGGTGTTTTCAAACTCGATGTAAGTCGTTTTCTGAGAATTTTTGAACCACTTCATTGTTGTATGCTGGTTGATTTAAGCATATCACCTTCTTCTTTCTACCGCGGGCTACTTTCATACCGAGGATCATGCTGATCTCCCCCAGGTCGGTTATTATCCAACTTTTTCCTAGTACTTCGAAAACTTCTTGGGCATCACGAACCGATTTAGTCGCGAGTGCTAGATTGTCGACATCAAGCAACACTGCTGCTCCCTTTTCTTCAATTCTGCCCTCTGGTCTGTAGTGAAGATCCCAGTCAGGTTCACTTCTCGAAAACTTAGGTGTGATAATCCTTCTCCTAGCTTGATCTATCATGTCCTTCCCGATTGCTTTGACCTGTAAAGCAATTTTATCACCTTCGAAGCATTACATCCTTGCTTTGGTTTCATTCCCTTGGAATACATCAAGTGGTTTACAACTTCGACTTTACCGTTCAAATACGCCCCTTCGACAGCCTGTCGAGCCTCAAGATCCTCTGTCCCTGTGAGTGTCAAGAGTAACCTTAGCAATCCCGCTCGACCTACATTTGGGCACATTTACTCAAAATCGACACCCGGTACTTGTCAGAAATTTTGGGCTACCAAACCTCGACTGGTACTTTAGTAGGTGTCCCTCTGAATCTGTCCTTACCTTGAACACCCACTTACAGCCTGTGGCTTTTCGGTCTGGTGGTAACACCATTTCTCTCCATGTCCCTTTACTGTCAATGTTGGCCATCTCTTTTCCCATGGACTCCAACCATTTCTCACCATCCGGCACCTGTTTTGCTTCTTTAGGAGCTATGGGATCAATGAGAGAGGTGTCCGCTACCAATAACAGTGATTGATGCAAGGGTGACTAACCTATCATCAGGCTTGCAATCAAACTCCAGGAACAAATCATTTCCTTCGTTTATATCATCTCTCTCTTTGTCAACGATCTCGTTCTCATAGGCCCAATCGCCTCCTCAAACACCCCGTCCTCTTCTCCTAGCTGTAGAATGACGCCCAATACCTGGTGAGTCGTTCTCATTAGCGAATAGTGATGACTAAAGAGTCCCCCGACCTCACCTAGAGGCCTCACGACACCATCAAAGTCAAGCTAGATCCCATCTTCAACGATGAAACACTCCCAGACCAACGTGCAGAAAGTGGTGATCATGCAATTTGAACAATAATCAAGAGGAGATCGACCTGTCGAGCGATGCACGTCTCGTGAGTACTTGTTTTGTCCTGATCTGTCCACCCTGACAATATATCCTCTTACACCCTCATCCCGGCCAAGAATAATGGCTGACAAACCCCTAGATACGGTGAAGTCTTACTTCATTCTGATCTCCGTTGGTACCTGAACGTAACATCGTTCTCCGAATCCCTTTACAATCTCTAGATTGGTCTGTCTTCCAGTGAGTGATGTTCAACCCGATTTCCAATCGATGTTTTCATCATTATCATAGCGGCATACCTGACAGCATAGGGCCAAGATCCGTTCGGTGACCCAGAATCAAGCAACATGGCCATGACCATACCCTTCAAGGTATATATCATCCTTTCTGCCACTCCATTCAATTCTGGTGTGTAACTTGGCGTGATGTAGTGGCTGATCCCGGCTGATAGATAGAATTCTCGCATTTGATGACTGTCGAAGTCCACCTCCCCCATTGGATTTCACCACTCTCACTCTTTCCCTGAGCTGTTTTTCCAACCCCAATATACACTGCTGTACTAGATCTGATGCCTCACTTTTGACGGTTATTGGTATCGTGAAGACAATTTGGCTCGCCCTTTCAATACCAACGCAGAAATACCTTTCGCTGATTATTCCCGGTTTGAACGGTCCAGTTATATCGACGCCTACACCTTTGCCATCTCCTTTCAACATCGGTGCTTCCTTGTTCTTGGGTATACGGGTTATCTTGGCCTGCATTCAGGCTGGGCGATTGTCGGTCAAGAATGGGTCATTCTTGTAAGTCTCCCATTCCTCTCTCAATGATCCCTGTCCACCTAGACTCTTGAGTTTGTCTACACCTATGTGTTTAAGTCTCTGATGTTCAGACTCGAGTGATGATATGGGTTTTGGTGTCGATATGATGATCGTCACGGCAGTCATTGTTTCACCAAAGCATACTTACCAAAGTGAGCCATGTTTCATTACACCTAGTCCTTCCTTTCCTCTCCCCAGCAACCCACCATCACAATCAAGGTTTGCTCTCCATCCCCACAGTAATGATTTCGATAATGACAGAAGGCTTAACCTTGCGGTGGAGACACCAAGTACGTCTTTCAGTACCAACCTCGGTTTCGAGTCTAGTTCGAGTTTAGTATCACCTATTCCTAGGGCTGTCATTGATTTTCCAGAGGCCAAACCAAATATCCTTGGTTCAATCAACCTTTAGAGGTTGGTCAGAATGGATCTGTGAATGGATATATGGTGAGTAGCACCTCTGTCCACTACCCAAGTAGGTATAACCCGTGTTGAGTTGACCTCTCTAGTCTTGGTAGCCAATTCCATCACATCACTCCAATCATCTTTGACACACGGATCTTCAATCCCACACAATATTATTCATGTACCCTCTGTCATGGAACCACGATTCACTCGCGACCACCATGGCTGTCCACGCTTGGTGTTCACCATCTACGGTAATGATGTCGCCAATAGGGAGTTAGGCTTGGAGGGTTCAGCAGATTCAGACTGGGATTGTTCTTTCAAACCTGTGCGTCCCGTTCTGTCTTTCTTCTGTTCCCTCTGCCCCTTCTTACCTCCCTTCTTATCATCTCTACCCCTGACATGGCCACCATTTGGCCTTTTCGGCTTGTAACAGTCCTTGGTCGGGTGGCCTACTTTATCACAGTTGAAACATTTCCTGATTATCTTCTGATACTGACTATCAGTGAGGTTCTCACGGTTCACTCTGTTACCATTCTCCTTGACGGCCAACATCATGAACCCCTACTTATTCATCCTTCCAACAGGACGTACTTGACGCCTCGCAGTCTCGGCATTATACTTTGCAATTACATTCAGCCACGCTTTGTTCGCATGTATTTTGACATGTATGAGTTGGAATGATGGAGCTTAGAATGGTGTTGAGGAAGGTATGTGCCCTGTCATGTAGGTCCAGATCTATACCCACCATTTTTGCCTCCGCTATGGTCTGCAGAAAATCCTCCACATGTCTAGCCATCTCATCTGCTGTTGCATCATCCCTTAGATCATAGCTGTACGGCTTCTGACCGACTACTCTTTTGGCCTCCATGATCTTGGTCTCATGTATCCCAATGCAATGTTCCCGCATGGCTTTTGCTGACTTTAGATTATCGAAATCTACCCTTACGGCCTCTTCATTCCCTGGGCTCTATTTTCCTTAGCTTGCCAGCGTCCTCACTCCCTCGAATCCTCTCCTGTTATCCTCATCCCCGTCCTTGTCACCGTGGTACCTGTTACTCCCTTCACTCCACCAGGTGCGACTAGTCCAGGAATTGTCCCTTGTTGCTGGGGCTTCACCGACCCCTCACGTTCACCGACTGGTTGCGTGGGTACTACCGACCCTGCACGCTCTCCCACAGGACGACTTCCAACTCTCCCAGGTTTGATGTTGGTACCGTGCAATGCACTCCAAGCATCACCTAACCGCAGGTACACCTCGATTGCCTTTTTCCACGGGCATGAATGGCCGTGTCATGAGAGAGTTTTGGAATCATTCTCAAGTGAGATCTTGGAGGATAAAGAGGAGATGATTACATGGTGTGAGTTGTTCCTGTCCTGTACACAGTGGGTGCGTACGTCCTACTGTTGAAATCTGTTAAGTTTGAAAGCTGATATTCAGAATAATACAGAGGGGGGAAAAACATGCATCAAATGTACATGTGTCTACATCTATCAGAACGTGAAGGAAGGGACGTAATAGAAGGGGAGAAAGAAGAAAGAAGAGGAATGAGAAGAAGAAAAGACTTTGGGGGGAAGAAGATAGATGAAGGAAAGAGATCCGTCTCCATGCTCCATACGTGTGTGAGCGATGAAAAGAACGGGACGGTAGAGTTGAGAACAGGTGTCAGATAAAACGAGACATGAATGAAGTAGTCGAGGAGAGGTTGAATCACCAATCAACTCGTAGAAGATATGCATATGCGTAATCTTACTCCTTGAGTGATCAGTAGCCGACCGTATTCTGTTAATCATAACCAAAACTCACAGTGTTGACTGTCATTCAAAGACACTGTGAAACCGCTCAAGGGATAATTCCTATCATGATCTTATGCGTACAAGGTTGCTAGTTTGGGTAAAAATTAACAATTTTCCAAGATCCGGTAGATTGACCATGCCTAGCTCTATGCTATGTTAGTATCAATCCATGTTCCATGACAGAAGACGGTTACGGTTATGGTTGAGAAACACGGACGAGGAAAATCATACTCGTACTCGTACCGTTGAACCAGCTCATGTACTTCATCCACCAGAGGGTGCAGGGTGTAACTTTGGAGTGATACAGCTGAGGTGTCATGACAGGTAACTTGCAGTAGAGCAATCAATCTGCAATATCAACAAGAATTTGGCCGGATAAACAGGAAGATTCCTTACCAAGCCAAGGTATAAATAAGTGTACAGTAGAGTACTCATCTTCTCTTTTCTTCCTCCTTCACCACCTGGTTTCGTTTGGATTTGATGACATTTGTGGTGAGCATCCGATAGACTCAATCATGTTGATGTCAGTTCGTATGCTATTGATTCAGTACAAAGGGTCAAGATGTATGCTTTAACATTTTATTCGTGTCACTCATCTCTACTCGATTAATACGAGTCATTACGCAATCGACTCACCTAACCCACCCCAGACAAATCTATCCTGTTCGACTAAACATCATTCTTACAAACGTTCATGTTGGCAGATCTCAGATCTTTCCTCCGTTGACGACACCCCGGTAGTAGGTTGTTTCCAACCCTTTCTGCTCTTTCAAACCTCTTATTGAGCTCACAGAGGTCTCATGCTTCTTCCTTGACGCCAGTCATGGTTGAATCCAAAAACAGGTCCTATAGAGAACGTCAAATGAACAGGGGTGGGCAGGAGTTCAGCTTTCCATCGCTCGAGTTGTTTGAGAATGACAATGACGATCCTACATATGTACATCTTGGGCGATGTTGATGATGACGGCTTGATCGATTGAGAGATTTAGTAGAGGTAGAGGGTGTCATGACGTTGGATTCTGGAAGAGGGCAAGGGAGACCGACGACCGATTGCAAGTGAGGGAGAAGAGGGTGGGGTTTTGCCGGGAAAGTGGTCCTTGAAATCAGATCAAAGGCTAAAGTTGTGTAACGATCTGAATAAATTTTGCATGCCCAAGTGATGAAATCATATCAGATAATGAAATCAGCTAGAGCTGGAAAATCGGGAACCTCCTAGATCGTAATAAATAATCATAATCCCAAACAAGCATAAGTGATGAATCAGCAAACATATCTGGGAATAACACGAAAGAAGCATGAAGTCGTGTAACTGACCCACCAAAGTTTGACCAATTTCATGGAATACCTAAACCCGTCAGAGCCGTCATTCTTACCTGCTGTCTTTCCCAACGGAGGGGACTTTGTCCGGGAGCTCCATCCATCTTGTCCTGTGAAGCTTGTGTCTTCCCGTCGTTTTTGACTTTTTCTCCTTCTTTTGACGTATCCTGTATCCTCCAAACTTTTTGAGACAATCCCGATCCAATTCTCCTGCTCGACAATAATGTCTGCGTGTCTGACATCTTGGCAGCCGATTTCGACCATGACTCATGGGATCATTCCAGTACGAACGCGTTCTACGGATCCAAAGGTGGACAATCACAGAGCGACGGGGTCAAGGGCGTCGGCCTCGGCGGCACAGGCAAGTGAATACCAACTCGAAAAGACGGTCGAGGCATGTTGATCACATCATTTCGAGCGTACATCATGTCGCTGGAGAGACACCACCTCGATACCGTCAACGTCTTCTTCCAATGAGGATCAATGGGTGGACGCCTTTGAACGGATTAGGAAAAAAGAAGAATGGAAATGGGGTCTGGCTATGGTGTCTTGCGGAACCGCTGGGATGTGGTCGATATGAGCGAATGCTTTGATCACCTTTCTGGGATAGGCAATGATCCAGAGGAAATAGGAATGATGGGGCTATCGACTTTGGCCCACGGATTGACAGCTTTGGATCCAATGATCTGAGTGTCTGCTAATCATCTCAGCGGTACAGCCTCGAACTGTGTTCAATCGCGATAATGTACTCACATATAGTCATCATGTCCAGGCTATGATAATTAGTAAATAATTCTTACTTTCGTAATATCGAATTTGGGAGTGAGCGAGGTCACCAGTGTTACAATGTTAGGTCCCCGCTGCCCTGTTCTATCTTCCAACAAGACTTGGGGTAGCTAGCAAGGATGAATGTTCAGGCAGCGTGGCAGAAAGGTTCATGTAAATAGGCAAGGCAGTAACCGGTAGGAAGACCAGATAGACGGGAACGGATGTGGATATACGTGGACAAAAACTCACCGTGTTCAAACCACCGCATGAATGGAGAGAAAACTCGTTTTTGATCGACTTGATTTCGGTCCAATCAACATTGACCGTCTGTCTGCTCGTGCTTGTGTAAGTCAAGTGTCCATTCAATACAGAATACCAGCAAACCTGATACGATTGTGAGCTTTTTCAAACCTTCATCCGAGTCATCTTTTCTCCTCGAGAAATCATGTTTTTATACGAAGCAAGATAACTGATCTGGATCAAAAGCAGACATCTACTCCTGATCAAATGCAGAGGAAGAGGAGAGGCAGTAGAGGTAACGATAAGAGTACTAAAGGGGGAAAAGGTGATAGAGTTGGATAGACAAAGATGACACTCACGTCGATGACTCGAGAACAACCTTTTAACCCTTTTCAATGTTCCTCTTGTACAGTTCATGACTGAAATCTCAAAACGCCGGCACCTCAAAGCGGACCGAACGACTTGAGATTTCCGTTCCTGCTGCCTGTTTGTGCAGACGTGCACCGCTGGATTTCTCCAAGGGTCAGTCTCCCATCATAACTCTGCCGCGTTATACTGCTTGAGCTACGGTTGTGAGTCGTCTCACAGGGGACTGAATGAAGGTATGAGACCCGAGTTGTGACCGTATAGCGGTGGGGTATTTTTCGATCGATTCCATCATAGGATAGGTGGAACATTACGATGAGCGTGATCAATGGAAGGTAGGATGAGTGATGAGACAGAGGGTCAGGGAAAAGAGGAGAAAGAGGACATGAGGTTTGAAGAGGGGGAATACTGAGATGATGAAAGAAAGTTTAAAGAATGACCCGCATGAGTTGTTGTCGAAAACAGACATAATGGTGGAGGATAAAGAGAGGAATGTCCGGGTAAAGGCGTCTCGACTAATCCAAAGTTTGACCCCGAATTTATTTCCGTGTCAATTGCCGAACTCAATAGTGATGTCTCCAACATGGATCCTGTATAACCTGAACAAAGCCGTGAACGAGCCTAGATTGTGAGAGAAATGACTAGAATTGACCGAGAGGGAGATGGATGATATTGAGACAATGGGTGTGCGTTGGATAGAGACGAGGGTTCTGCCAGTGATAAAGTACTCGTAATGGTTGTCAGCTGTAAATCAGTATTCAAGCTGACAAACTTTCAAGGGACACGTACTCGATTTTGAGTCTTGACCTGTCGCTCTAGGTTTCTCACGAGTTTGATTATGAGAAGGCGTTTGCACCTTTTGGAAGAGCAGGATCATTCAGAGTATTATTGACACTTTACGGTGATGTGAAGACCTAAAATTCAGACAAGCCAATGTCAAAGGGGCGTACCTAGTTACTAGATCTTCCTGCTCATTGCGCTCCTGTGAGCTGTTCCATCCATGAAACAATCTACCCGAGTGGTACAAGAAAGGATGAGCCGGTGACCGGTAAGTAGGTGATAACAAGTACTGTACTTGTAGTCATACGGTTTTGTATAGTCGTACGGGTTTGTATAGTCGTACAGTTTGTATAGTCGCACAGTTTTGTATAGTTGTACAGTTTGTATAGTCGTACAGGTTTGTATAGTGATGTATAGTGATGTGTAGTGAAGTAGTGATGTAAGTGATGTAGTGACTAGCAGTAAACCGCTCGCTCGCGCTCGCAGGCCGCGGGATCAAATGCCGCGCAAGTTTTGTGGCTGACAAACATCCCCCATTGCTATCCAACAAACTCACTACTCCATCGTTCATACTTCCACCATCATCCATACACACTCTTAGCTTAGAGGGGAGGGATAAGCATATAGGGTCTGGTTGCTCGGAAGGCCCTCGTCGGCTGATCAGGTTATGTGCTTGTTCTGGAACTATTTGCTTTGGGTATCTTTCCAAACTCGCCATCGACACCGCCAACATCGCCATCGTCGTCATTGTTGCCATCATCGCCATCATCGCCATCATCGCCATCATCGCCATCATCGCCATTGTCACCATCGTCAGTGTTGTCGCCACCATTGATATCTGCTAAGTGAGTCAGGCTCTCTGTCCGTAACCCTTTTTTTCTGTGACCCCTCTTATTCCGTCACCCCTCCTATTCCGTCACCCCTTGGTTCCGTGACCCCTCTGGTTCCGTGATCTCTGTGTCTGTTGTATTCTGTGACCTCTCCTATTCTGTGACCTCATTCCGTGACCTCATTCCGTGACACTCTCATCTCCAATGCCTTTTTCCCATCACGTCTATCAGGGGGAGACTATGCCGTTTTTTTTCTATCAGGGGGATACTATGCCAATTTTTCTTCATCACGTCTATTTTCATGTCTGTTCTACTTCCATCACATCTGTAGGGGGGAGACTATGCCTTTTCTTGTTATCATCATGTCTATCATACGTCTATCAGGGGAAACTATGCAAATTTTTTTTCATCATGTTTACAAGGGGGAGACTCTGCCAAAAGAATTCCTATTCACGTCTATGAGGGGGGAAACTATGCCAGAATTTTTCAGCCAATATGCTAATGTAAGATAGATACACAAAATGCCCAGAAAGCATCGCAAGCCGGGTAGCCTGGACGTAAGAAGCGAGCCCGTTTGGCGGCCGATAGGATGTTTGAACCAGGTCAGTGGTGTTGCTCTCTATCCTCACAATCGCTCACAACCAGCTCTCATAGACGCACCTTCTCCACCTCTGCTCCAGAATTATTACGGCCAACGGCGCCCTGACAAGAAGAGAGACGCCCCTGACGGACTGGTCAGAAACCCAAAACCACTCAAAGATCCCGAACAGAAGATGAACGATCTTGTGTCGGAGTGGGTAGATCAGCCAATGAGGACCATCTCAGCATCTGAGGTGAGATTATCTTGATCACATGAGCGGACTCTGACGCCAAGTATCCTCTTGCCGTGAGATGCACTCTCCCTGACGCTGGGGAGTCAGTTGGGCGTCCGAAGTACTGGGCCATGGGTTTCAAAAGAATCACTCAGTCTCAGGACAACAGGATCATCCAAAGGTGCTGGAAAGACATTGTCGACGTAAGTTTGAACAGATCCAACTTGAAACTCACGCCCAGGCCAATATTATCCCTTCATGCGGCTCATCTTCACGCTCCAAAGATGATAATCGATCATATCATGCGGGAATTTGGCACCCACCCACCCAATCTGACGTCCCTTTCTACTCAAAAGACGCCCTCCAATTCCCCATCAAAGCTATGATGAGCGCCTTTGCAAAGATTGCTGGCAGAGGTGCACGTCAAGCTCTTCAGAAGTATGATAGGGATGTGTATGTCCGACTTACCCAGTAAGTCATGCATTCATTCACAACACTAGAGTCAAGCTCACCATTAGCACACACTTTCTCAGTCCATTCTTGGCTGATTACTCTAAGGGTGATCTTGCTATGACCAAAGCCGAGCTGGTGGATCTGAAGTTAGGACGTGTGGGTACGATGCTTGCCATCGCAGATGGACAGTCAGAAGGCTGGCACTTCGATAGGGGGGACGACGATGATACATATTCGGTTGTGTTTGTGTTTGGGGAAGGTGGATGGGATACCAGTGAGAAGCAAGGCAATCTGGTCATCCCACAGCTCAACCTTGAGTTCGAACTGAACGTCGGTGAGCCAACAATTCTCTCACTCATTACCATACTGAATTTACAGGAGATGTTCTCTTCTTCCAAGCCTCCCATCTTCTACATTATGTCCTACCCCTCAATCCTGAAGACACTGATAAGAGGATTGTTCTCACCGTGTTCACCTGCAAAAGGCTGTCTAATCATTTCAAAAGGTACGGCTTTCCCAGGCCATCCGTTTAGTATGCAACAATTGTATATAGTGAGCCCAAGTCAGTGCAGTGCACGCACTAACAACCATTCATTTCCACTTGATTTGGAACTCAAAAATGAATTCCCCTCCTACTTAGGATGGTGTTCGTCAAATCCCTGCAGTTCCTGAAGCGTGGATGGCTCCTACCAATGTATCCGCCTCAGACCCTCCGCTTCCTGAGGGTCCAGCAGCTGGAGCATCCTCTTCTACCCCCAGCAGCTGAACATTGGACCTACGAGTGACACGTCGGACCCCCTTAGGCGACGGAGTTACAACCATGGCAGGTGAAGAAGGTGAGGGTCCCCCACGAGCTTGAAGTTGGATGTCGTGCAGCATGACGGTCAAGATACCAGTCTCGTTACGCCCATAGATCTCTCCTCTCACCGTGACCGTCTGTCCTGCGGTGGGTAGGGGGAGTCGAGCCCATCGTGGAGTGTTTGGGATCCATACCTTGAAGTGGAATACGTTCTGCTGGCCGTTCTTGTCTCATCAGCATCATCAAGCACGCTGCATCAGAGGTGGACTCACCCCGTAGATACTTCCACCCATTATGAACACACGGTTCACACTATCAGTCTCCACAACCCCCGTGGAGATCAACATGACAGGCCTTCCGGACGGTACTTTGGTCATGTACTCAGGATCTACCCATCAGCAAGGTCACCTCCGTTCAGACTCACCCGCCATGTCCGCCCATGGGAAAGTCTAGATCGATGTTGCAAAGATCTGCATGGGATGGTCTTTGGCGCCGTTGTGGGCCATCGATCCCCAGAAAGCGACGGCTTCATCCACCAAGGGAGGAGTGTGAGTGCAAGCGTGTGTGTTGACAAAAACATCATGGATGCTGGTGGGAAAGCTCAACACAGACAAGAACATGTGTTGACGAGGTTTGTTGGTGTCGGCAATGGTGTCATTGGTGATGAGCAACACCGCGTAGACATAGCAGGATGAGTTGGGTGTGGTGTTGACCATAGCGGAAAAAGATTGATAAGTTGGCAACTGAGACGGACTTACCACATGAGTGCCACCTATTTATGTTGTAAACCACACATTCTGCCAGGAGGACAATGGCACCACGCCTTTCTCTTTCTGAACTCAAGAAGGGCAGCAAGAGCCGGAAACGGTAGGGGAAGGGAGTTTCAACAATGGTGAGGATTTTCCAAAATTAGAAGTGGGGAGGAGGGAATGTGATGAGTCTTGCATGTACAGAGAGGAAAAGAGGATGGCTCATAAGGTTCATGCCATCTTTGATACATATGTATGTACAGTGGAAACAGAGAGTGTGACATGCACAGGAGTTGTGTTACAAGTAGGTTATTGTACATATTGTCGCAGTAACCTACGGTGGGCCGGAAAGTCTCAGGTTCACTTCCCTGCACTCCACATGATCCGTCAGTCGGAGAAAGTAGTTATCTTCATCTTCTTCACGCTTCTCCAACAGCCTGTGGGCCATGGAGGTATGGGAAGAATCGTCACTCCCAACAAGTATCCCATGACCAATTTCGTCATCTGGACGGGGTTTTTTGGGCATAGCCTGGAGCAATATCAGAGACAACACATAGCAAATATGTTTGACTGGGAGTTGTTGAGTGCGCCTTTGACACCTTCCTCAAACCATCTACATGATTATGCAGTATGCTGATGGCTTTTCAGTAGTGGTGTTGGTGCTGGAGACCAAGTGTATACAGCACATATATGTCCCACCGTGGAACCACCATATGGCCCATTATCGTAGGGTAGAACCGTGTCGTCCGTTTCACTATCTTTCACCACATTCTTCCTTCTATGAAGTGTGTGTTATGTTTACGCAGCTAGTAGGTAGATCAATAGATATAAACCCAGTAGATAGTCTTCTGTGTCATCATCATGCTTCAAATGACTCTCTACTTGTACAGTCGCTGTCAAAAGTTTCCGTACACCGATCATCGGAGACACCTCAACCACCCGGTTTCGTCCTCGACCCCTGTCACATCCCCCGTTCCTATGACCCCTATGCTACGTGCTGATGCATGCATTGCTGAATAATGATAGTCATGACCGAGGTGGAGGTGTATGCAAGATTTGGAAGCATGAAAGTGCATAAGAAGGGTACTAGAGGGTTTCCTCTCCACCCATCTTCCTCACCATGGTCACTATCCCTCGAACCCCTTCCAAACGTGGTACCGTCATTGGTTTTCACAAAGCTGGCCTCACACTTGGTCAGATTGCTCGCAAGCTAGGCTGGCCTCGATCTACCGTCCAATATACAGTCGAAAGATACAAACAATACGACACTGCCTACGATCGCCCACGCCCAGGACGCCCTTCCAAGATGGAAAGAACTACTCGTCGAATTATCCGTGATATCACCCATCATCCCCAAGTTCCCTTCGGCTCTATTGCCTCCACATACAACCTCAGTGAACCCACCATCCGCCGCATTGCGGCCAGACATGGTCTCCACCGCCGAGTCATGCGCCGTACCCCTTTCTTACGCCCACAAGCAATCGAAAAGCGGATCAATTGGGCAAAGGATAATGTAGGACAGGATTGGAGCCGAGTTATCTTCACAGATGAGATGTCTTTGGAGTTGGGACTTGCAAGGTGTGCTTATACAACTCGAGGAGTTGGACAGGCGTTTGATTTGAAACATCTTCAACCAACATTTCGATCTGGGAGGAAGTCTATCATGGTATGGGGTGCTATGGCACATAATCATAAATTCCCTCTCATTCTTCTTCCTCCTGGAGGACTCAATGCCGCTCGCTATTCCGAGATTGTCTTACCAAAGCTGAAGGAGTATGAAGAGATATTGTCTGCAGAGATTGACCGAATGGTGAGTTCATGACAAGAGACAAGACAAAATTCCGCTGATTCTCTCCAGGTCCTAGTAGTTGAAGACAACGCTCCATGCCACAAAGCAAAACACAGTCAGCAAAAGCGTGATACACTTGGTCTCCATTCACTTATCCACCCTCCCTCATCTCCGGATGTTAATCCTATCGAGAATCTCTGGTCAATGGTGAAGTACAAGGTTAGCAAGCGCCTTCCAAGAGCGACAAACGTGGAGCAGTTGTTTGAACATTGTGTGGCGGAGTGGGAAGCTATAGACATGGATATTGTCAACAAGGTGGTGGCTAGCATGCCAAGGAGGGTTGAGGCTGTCAAGCATGCTAAGGGGTACGCTATCAAGTACTAAGATGGGCTGTAGACATGATTGAACTAGCCAAAATGCATCTAAATGTCTATAGAAGAAGTGGTGAGTAACCGATGATCGATGCGCGCGGATTGTACGGAGACTTTTGACAGCGACTGTACATAAATCAGAGACATTCTTGATACCAACTGATTGTGTCTTACCCCAAGGCAAAAAAGACAACCAGGTCATCTTACCACTGTCACCCCTGTCAGTCCTCTGATAGCTAACTGTCACACACGTATCACAAACCAGGACTACTCAGCGTCCCGCTGTATGATAGTACCTTGGTTTCCACTGAACAAGAAGGTCTATAAACCAGTGATGTCTATAATCATCAATTGCCATGCTGGTGAAGCACCCATCATCTTCTTCATCTGACTTTGCTTCAACTGCGGTTTCCTACAAAACCTTCCTTCATGTGAAGACCCCTCGTGGTAACAACAGGTTTCTGTTCCAGCCTTAGGCGTTTCCTGTAAGGAAGCTGTGAGTGTTCATGATTCTGAGCAAGAGAAAGAATTGGGATTGGAGACATAGCCAGGTGTCATGACCCTGCAACCTCAGTTGTGACATCAGGTTATAACCGGATTGCAATCATAGGGCTGATTGCAATATTGTGCCTTTTTGCGCAGTGGCATAAGATGTCACATGCATGGCCAGTGTATGGCCTGGTGCTGGTGAGCCAGGTCGTAACACCAGGTTAGTGTCACGAACTACGTCGTGACACCTCGATTACTCCACCAACAATGACCCTCCTTTGACCATCAAAACCCCATCACGCCTTAACCTCTTTACTCTACACGTAACTCAGGACTTCTGAGACCAAGTACGGCGAAGTTAGACGGAGTTAGGCTAAGTAGGGACAATGGGAGCAGAAGTACAGCGAAGTTAGACGGAGTTAGGCTAAGTAGGGACAATGGGAGCAGAAGTACGGCGAAGTTAGACGGAGTTAGGCTAGGTAGGGACAATGGGAGCAGAAGTGCGGCGATGTTAGGCGGAGTTAGTCGAAGGAGGAAGAGGATGGCCGAGGACTCGGGGAAGTTGGACGAAGTACGTTGAAGTACGTCAAAGCGCGAGAGGGTTGGATGAACGTCTAGGAGGAGTGATAATATTAGCTGAGAAGATCGCTGAAGTTCTTCAGCGATCCTTGATTGTTGTCAGTAGTGAAAGATAGATAGAGATAGCTATAAGCAAATTGAGATACATCGCCATCAGTAGAACAAAACCCCAGTTAGAGTAACTACGGCAAAGTACGCCGTAGTTACACTCCTTTCGACGTCTGCGCCCTCCCGGTTGGGTGAGACATCGACTTAGAAGCGTCAAGTTAGCCGAGGTTCGTCGACCGTCGGTCTGTTAGAAGGTAGTTGTTTGACGGACGTGACAGTATCAACGATCACTCTTACCGACGACCCGTGCGAACCTCGGAGAAGTACAAAGATAATATGGAACCAGATAGGAGAGTTACGCAAGGCATGAGTAGGGACGGAGATAGGATGGAGGAGAACGAGAGGAGGGCACTGGAGGAGCTTAGCAGAGCGATGGGGCAGCAGCTTGGAGTGGAGGATAGTGTGGGGGGATCAATTCAAGGAGATGAGTTCGTTCCACCAGTGTTTTCTAATCCTCCTACCCCTTCGGGTAATGCTCTCCCACCTATTGGATCCCCAGTTGGATCGGATCAAACCCCGCGGCCAGAAAACACTGGAAGTACAGCGAACTTGGGAGAAGAAGGTACACAAGGGGTGATATTGGCCTTGATGCAGATGGTGGCGAATATGAACAAAGACATGATGGAAGAGAGAAGGCGTAGGGAGGAGTGGGAGCAGAGAAGAGAAAGGGAGACGGTGGGCGGTATTGCAGAAGGGATATCAGAAGGGGTGAGGTATGCCATGGGACGGCAAACTTCGGCGACCCCAAGCGTAGTTGGCGAACAACGGAAGGGGATAAAACTGCCTAATCCGGACTTCTGGAGAGGAGAGAGGAACAAGTTGACCGCATTTCTGTCGGAATGTGAAATCCATTACGAACTGAACTCTCATCTTTTCCCCAACGACACCAAGAAAGTTTTCTTCATGATCTCTCATTTACGCGAAACACCTCTTCTCGCCGTCCAACCCGATCTTGCTAAACGACCTCTTCCTGACTATCTTAGGGAGTATAATCAATTCGTTAGATATCTCAAGACAAACTTTGGCGACCCGGATGAAGAAGGAACCGCAGCCCGACTGCTTAACGATCTAAGGCAGACTGGGTCAGCTTCGGAGTACTTCTCCGCCTTTCAACGACATGTGGCGATACTCAAGTGGTCTGATGACGGAAACCTGGTTGACCGAGCCAAGAAAGGGTTGAAACCACACCTCCTAGACGAAATAGCTAGACATGGTAAATCTTTTGGGACTGTCAAGGAGTTATTGGAGTTTGTTATTCCCATGGACAACAGGTTGTGGAGAAGGAAAGTGGAGAAGGATGCGGAGAAGAAGAGGGAGACGGGGGTAAAGGAAGTGTTAGTGGTGGATAGCCAGAGGGTGGAGAGGAAAGAGGAGAAAAGAGGGGAAGGGAGGCAAACTTCGGCGCAGTCTGCGGTGCAAGCGACTATTACGTCGACGCAGGTCAAGAGCATTCCATCAAATGCCGACGAACTTCGCCGGCAATGGCCCAGGCCACCTCCCGAGCTGAGGGAGACAAGGAAGAAGGAAGGGAAGTGTACTGAGTGCGGGGAGAGGGGACATTGGTTGAAGGATTGCCCAGTGAGGGCAGCGAAGGTAAAGGTTGGATGGTTGCCTCCGTGGGGGGAGAAGTTCGGTGAACGTGGTGGAGGATCGGGGGGTAACGCAGTACCTCTGGGACAGAGGAGGAATTTGAACGCAGTTGGAGGAGATGGAGAGATGGAAGAGGACCAGGGAAAAGAAGACGACCTGTCGCAGTAGGCGAGGCTCGGCGGGTCCGCCATATTCTCTCGGCCACCATTCCCAAACCTATAAAAGAGACACAGCTGATGGAGCCAGAGGATTGTGCATACAAAAATACACCACTCAGTACCCCCTGTTCATGCAATGTCGATAATCATCTACTCATCTCTTCCACTTCTAGAGATCAACCTAAATCGGACATTTTTATTAATGGAATTAAGCTAACTACGCTCTGGGACACTGGGGCTACTTGTTCATATATAAGCCCTAGGGCAGCGGCGAAGATAGGTGTAGGAAGGAGACGATACCAGGTGAGCGTACCCGTTCACATGTTTGATGGCTCGGTTAGTGTCGCTGGACCCATCACCGAGTTTGTCGAAGTTGGTTTTAGTTTGACGAAGGACGCCGAAGTGCAATCTGTTCGTCTAGATATAACAACGCTCTGCGATGCAGATGTTGTGATAGGGTGGGACTGGATGAGGAAGGAAGGGGTTGTTCTAGATGGAAGAGACAACTCGGTGAAGTTCCCCATCCCAACCCCACCGAGTGCGGCGAAGTTAGCAGCCATAGGGCTGCCAACTCCGACGGACGCGATAGATCTCCGAGACAAAGATGACCAGGATGAACTGAGTCCGGAGGAACAGGAGGAATTGTATCAGGTGGTTCCTGAACAATATCACCCGTTCATTGATGTGTTTAACCCGAGGAAGGGAGGTGAAGAATTACCTCCCTCAAGGGAATATGATCTAGAATTTGACCTTAAGGAGGGGGCGAACCTGAAGGTTGCTCCACTCTACTCACTCGGAGAAGATCAGAGAAGTGCGCTGAGAGACATCCTAGATCGCAAAACATCGGCCGGAAGAATTCGACCCAGTAATTCGCCCTACGGATCACCGATGTTCTTGGTACCGAAGAAAGCAAAGGGTCAATGGCGAATGGTCATTGATTACCGAAAATTAAACGAGGCAACGATACCCGACGCCTATCCACTGCCTCTGATCGGCCAGATAACCGAAGAGCTGGGAAAAGCGAGGTATTTCAGCAAGTTAGATCTGATTGGAGCCTATCAACTCCTACAAGTAAAGGAAGGACACGAGCACTTGACGGCGTTCAGGACTCAGTACGGTATGTTCGAGTCTCTTGTTGTTCGAGATGGTCTGTGAAATGCTCCGGCTGTATTCCAGCATTTTCTGAATGAAAGCTTCCGAGAACTGTTGGGGAAAGGAGTAGTTGTCTACATAGATGATATACTCATCTATGGTCAAACGTTGGAAGAATTGAGAGGAACTACGGCGAAGGTGTTCGAAGTTCTTCGAAGGTCGAATCTGTTCGTCAAGGCTAGTAAGTGTGAGTTTGAAAGAGATTCGGTAGTCTTCTTGGGTTTTGTGGTCTCACAGGAGGGAGTTTCTAGTAATCCGGAGTACATCGACGCTGTTGTGTCCTTTCCCCGCCCCAAGAACCTAAGAGAGAGCAGAGAATTTATGGGAGTCGTTAGTCATTATCAGCGCTTTGTCCCCAACTTCTCCAGGATTGCTAAACCGATCATTGATCTCACAAGGAAGGATGTACCGTTTGTCTGGGGAATGGAGCAGGAAAGAGCTTTTAAAGAATTGAAGGATAGAATGTGTAGGGCCCCAGTATTGGCTCACTTTGATCCCTCGTTGAAGACATTACTACAGACAGATGTGTCGTTCTTCGGCTGGGGCTTCATAATATCGCAGGTGAACGAGTTGGGACAAGAACATCCGGTAGCTATTGAGTCAGGAGCGTCTCAAGCGGCGCAGTCAAATTATACGGTAGGCGAGAAGGAACTACTAGCTATCGTTGAGGCTTTTAGAAGAAGGAGACACTTACTGTTACAGGTAGAGACTACAGTTCTCACGGACCACTTGAACTTGACATACTGGATGGAACCGAAGCAGCTAAGCCCGAGGCAGGGCAGGTGGGTCGAAGAGCTTTCTAACTTTAGGTTTAAGATGGTGTACCGACCTGGGAAACAAGCTACGCTACCGGACGGGCTATCGAGAAGAACAGACTACCACTCTGGAAAGGGGAGTACTATGGTGCAAGAGAGCAACCTTATTCAAGGGTTGCCGAAGTTCGACGAACTCGACGGCACTAACTCTGGGTTACAACACCTACTTCGTGCCTTGCAAGGAACAAAGGAAGTAAGAGAGAATGACCTTATTGATCTGTCACGGCCGTCGAACAACTATTTCTTAATAGACCGACGGTCGACGAACCTCGGCTAACTTCACGCTCTGAGTCGATGTCTCACCCAACCAGGAGGGCGCAGACGTCGAAAGGGGTGTAACTACGGCGTACTTCGGCGTAGTTACTCTAACTAGGGTTTTGTTCTACTGATGGCGATGTATCTTGATTTATAGCTATCTCTATCTGTCTTTCACTACTGACAACAATCAAGGATCGCTGAAGAACTTCAGCGATCTTCTCAGCTAATATTATCTACCCCTCCTAGACGTTCATCCAACCCTCTCGCGCTTTGACGTACTTCAACGCACTTCGTCCAACTTCCCCGAGCCCTCGGCCATCCTCTTCCTCCTTCGACTAACTCCGCCTAACATCGCCGCACTTCTGCTCCCATTGTCCCTACTTAGCCTAACTCCGCCTAACATCGCCGCACTTCTGCTCCCATTGTCCCTAATTAGCCTAACCCCGCCTAACATCGCCGCACTTCTGCTCCCATTGTCCCTACTTAGCCTAACCCCGTCTAACTTCGCCGTACTTCTGCTCCCATTGTCCCTACTTAGCCTAACTCCGTCTAACTTCGCCGTACTTGGTGTCAGAAGTCCTGAGTTACGTGTAGAGTAAAGAGGTTAAGGCGTGATGGGGTTTTGATGGCCAAAGGAGGGTCATTGTTGGTGGAGTAATCGAGGTGTCACGACGTAGTTCGTGACAGTCGCCCCCTTCTTTAGCCGCGAACGTCCTCGTGAGCGATTACACCTCTGTCGTGGCAAGAGAACTTAGCAGCGTAGTACCCCATTCTCTCCCTCCCCATGACCATCCTCCACTCTTCTGCTCTTTGCGCCGCACTTCGTAGTTGGGCCTCCTTTCACTCCAGAACCCGACAATGAGACTCCCCTAACTTCGTCGAGGTTTGCCGTAAGAAGCCCTGTGTCTTTTGTAGGTGAGACACGCTTCCTGAATGGCAGCCGAACAACACCGTTGTTTGTCGAAGTAACCCTCGCTTATATTGAGATGAGACACTATAGCGTGGGAATTTTGATCGTCCCTGCGATGCCTTTTGTTGATGAAACGCGAAGTTTGCTGCATGTTGACGACGAGGGGTTAGGTTTGATTATACTAAATACTGAGCAGTTCGTCGAGCTTCTCTCTTTTTCCCATCTGCTTTCAAAACTTTCTATCTCTCTTACCTAGAAAACAGATTTGTTACCTTGAATCATCGCCTCGAGTTTTATTCTCATTTAAATATCTTAACGTCATGGCCCCTTCTACTCCTACATCTAACCCTTTCGCCGCCATGAGGAACTTTGGTGGTATGGTGTCGTCTGCTCGTGAGTTATTCCTCGACACTTACCTTACTTCGCCGGACTTGGCTGATGTTCAGTTTCCTTCGGCGACAGATCTCGCCAAGTCTCCTCCCTCGGCCTCGGCACCCTCTCTTTGGGGGAGCCGTCTGGCGATGTCCCGCCTCCTCGCTCCGCTTCTCCTCCCGCCGGTCCTCCCGCTGGTTCTCCCTCTGCTTCTCCTCCTCCTGGTTCTCGCTCTGCTTCCCCTCCTGCCGCCAGCCCTCGCCGCAGGACGCCCGCCTTTCGTCCTGGTGAGTCTCCGTCCTCCTCCGACCAGGAGTCGCTCAGTGGTTCGGAGTCGGACGATCAGTCAGACGTCGAAGGAAAAGGGGGTGATTATAGTGATGAGGATGATAGAATCGTGTCGGAGGGTGAAACCGAGTTAGAGGAACACTCGGATGATGATATGGTGGCGGTTAGTGTAGAGGACAACAACGTAGATAGTCCTGAGCGTGAGTTCTTCGTCCAACCTCTCACACCTTCGCCGAACTTGGCCTTGTTTATCTGTTCTTTAGCTCTCCAAGACATTGCTAACTCGCAGCCGCTCCTGCCCCTCCCCCTGCTCAAATTGTGGGCCAGAAACGACGCCGTTCCCTCTCCTCTTCTTCTTAAATTGTGGGCCAGAAACGACGCCGTTCCCTCTCCTCTTCTTCTTCTTCCTCTTCTTCTTCTTCCTCTTCTTCTTCCCCCCCCCAACGCCATCGCCGCTGCCGCCGCTGCTGCCGCCGCCCGCTCTGCCGCCGCCATCGCTCCTGCTGCCGCCGCCGGTCCTGCTCCCGCCGCCGGTCCTGCTCCCGCCGCCCCCGTCGCTGCTCCCCCCCCTTCTCCCAGAGGGGAGCCTTCGCCCAAACGGGTGAAGAGATCACTGCGGGAAGAAGAGTACTTGTGGGAGAAGATGAAGTCCGAGCCTGGTCGTTGGATCGCGGTTGGTGTTGACGAAGCGTGTGACCGTTGCCGGTGAGTCCACCTATTCGTACTACGCCGAAGTTACTCCTGCTAATTAGTAGACGTGAGATTATCACGTATAATCGTCCAAACTGGGCCCTGCCTCAAGGCAGTCAGGCCACACAACAAGGCCCTCCGTTGTGCTTCATGCACGTCTGGCCCCTGCTCCTTCTGTCCCGTTTCCTCTGCCCGGGACATCCCGCCCCGTCCCTTCGACGCTTCTCCTCTCCCCCCTCCCCAGACTCCAGCGTCTGTCCCCCGTTCGCGGGTACCGTCTTCGTCTCTCCGGTCGGTTCGCCGTACTTCGCCGGACCTCCGCCCGTCGCCTCCGTCGCCGTCGCCCTTCGCTCCTGTGGCCGGCCCATCACGTCTCCCGGCTGTTCCTCCTTCGTCTTCTCGCCGTCCTTCGGCCTCTGCTCCTTCGGCCTCCCGTCCTTCGGCCTCTCGTCCTTCGGCGCCACGTCCGTCCTCTCCAGTGGTAGCTTCTCCTCCGGCTCACAGCACCCGAAGTCGGCGTCCTTCTGTTCCTCCGGCCTCTTCGGCGGCCCCTCCCGTCACCCCTCCCTCTGCTTCCCAGAAGACACCGAAGTCTTCTTTAAAGAAATCAAAAGGGAAATCTAAAGGGAAGGAGGTTGCCTTCAATGATGGTGATGTGGAAAATGAAGATACTCAGCGTGCTGGTCCCTCTGCTCCCCGGTTGTCCCTCGTCCACCCTCGTATCTCCCTGGACGTCCGTATTCCTGAGGACGAAAAGGAACTCGCCACTTATCGTTCTCTCGTCCTCGGTCTCACTACTCAGCTTGAGGCCGCCCGAAATGATACATCTCTCCTGCTTGACTTCTCTTCTCGTCAAGCTAACGCTTTAAACAATCTTACTGCGGCGTTAGTAGATGTAGTCAACACTGGGGCTCTGGACGACGAAGCAAGGACAAGGTTAGCGGACGTCTCTCGCCGAAGCCTTACTGAGATAGCCGATGTTCGCCGAAGACTGTTCGACACCCCCTTCCTAGTCACTCCTATGGCGTATGAGCCACCACCGTCCCTTGACTGGTTAGGTCGCCGTAGTAATTCTCGTGTCCCAGCTTCAGCCCAGACTGCTCTCGACCTCCTCAGTCTTCCCTTCGAGTGTCTACGGACCATACGTTCTCTGTGGAGGACCCCGAGCATGCAAGCTGCTCGAGATGTCCAGGACTTCGGTGACTTCTTTGGGGCTATGAATCGGGCATGGAATGCTTCTCTCTCTACTGCGTTCCCGTCTGAGACTCTCGATCTACCTTCGGTCATCGGTAGCCTCCACACCAATCCCGCGGGACCGAGTAGATCGAAGGAGAAAGGAAAAGGAAAAGGTAAGGGTAAGAGTAAGGACAAGTGAGCGGTACGTAGCTGTAATCCTATGTTGTATGCAGTACGTTCTATTTCCTAGCCCTTCGCAGTCGCCCTTCCTTCGGCTTAGTAGGGTGAAGTTCGTGGAACTTCGCCAATATGTCGTCAGCTCCATCGACGTTCTCCACTGGTTCCCATGATACTGAATCGTCTGTTCCTTCGTAACCTAACCACTCCACCAAGTACTCTAACTTTCCTGACCTCTTATTTACTCTAGAGTCTACAATGTCTTTTACCTCCCACGATTCCCCTACATTATCTACTTCTACTGGGCCAGGTGGTTCAGCTTGCTGACCAGGGAATACTGGAGGATGATAAGGACGGAGCAAGGAGACATGGAATACGTCATGGATACCTGCCATCGTTCCTGGTAGTTCCAATTTACAAGCATGAGAACCCACCTGCCGTACTACTTTGTACGGCCCACTTTGCTTAACATCTAACTTCTTCATTGGTCTCTTCGTCTTAATATTCTCTAACGACAGCATCACTAGGTCTCCTTCCGCGAAGTTCGGCGTAGTCCGGTGTTTCCTATTGTATCCTTCGGCGTACTTCTCATTAGCTTTCTCAATTCCTTCGATACAATCTTTGTGTATTTCAGTCAAGTCTTTTACCACCACCGTAGCAGCGGGCACTTCGACCTCGCTAGCCTTTATCTCTTCAGCCCAACGAGGGTGATATCCATAGTTCGCATAGAATGGGGTTTTGTTTATCGCAGAGTGCTGGGTGTTGTTGTAAGCAAAGCTAGCTCGAGCGAGTAGCTTCGACCAGTCGTTCTGCTGATAGGAGGTGAAGATTCGAAGATACAGTTCCAAAGACTGGTTGGTTCGTTCGGTCTGTCCGTCAGTCTGTGGATGATATGCAGTAGAGAGATGTAGTCTTATTCCGAGACTATCGGTCAAATTCTTCCAGAACTTGGAGGTAAACTTCGATCCCCTGTCCGATACTATATTCTCTGGCAACCCATGCTGGGCCACCACATAGTCCAATATCAACTCTGATAGGCCGGCTGCGGTTAACTTCGTCGTAGTCGGGATAAAAATGGCCCATTTGGTCAACCGATCCACCACTACCAGGATGGAGTTATATCCATGGGAATTTGGCAGCTCCTCGATAAAATCCATCGAGATGCTAGACCAAGGTTTCGTAGCTACCTCCAGTGGTTTAAGCTCTCCATGGGGTTTCTGTCTGTTAGTCTTTGCCCTCTGACATACCGCGCATCCAGCGATGTAGTCCTCAACATCCTTCCTTACTCCAATCCAGACATAGTCCCTTAGAACTAGCTCAAGGGTCTTCGCTGAACCTGGGTGACCAGCTAAGGCCGAGTCATGTCGCATTTTCATGATCTTCAGCCGAGCATCGGCGTAGTTCGGCACATAAATGCGATCGTCGAATGTGAGGAAACCTCTTGAGTTCCACCCCCCACGAAGGATTAGAGGAGACCGCGAACTACGGCGTAGCTCGGTGATTGATCCTGGTTCTTGCACGTTATCGTTACACGTAGGATGAGAACACTCAGCGCAAACGACTCCTAATAATTCTTCTCTGACCCCTTCTATGTCTTCGTCCTCCTGAACTCCAAGTACTAGATCCATAGGGTCCACAAGATCATTTTCCTTTACCTCCCTTGTCCCTTGCAATGCTCGAAGGAGGTGACGCAACTCCGACGTGGTGGCGTCAACTTCGTCGAACTTCGGCAGACCTTGGATAAGGTTGCTCTCTTGTACCATGGTACTTCCTTTCCCGGAATGATAGTCCGCCCGTCTAGATAACCCATCTGGCAGACTTGCCTGGGTTCCTGGCCGATAAACCATTTTAAACCTGAAGTTAGCTAGCTCCTCTACCCACCTACCTTGCCGAGGACTGAGTTGTTTCGGCTCCATCCAGTAGGTAAGGTTTAGATGGTCGGTAAGTACTGTGGTTTCTACCTGCAATAATAAGTGTCTCCTTCTTCTGAAACCCTCCACTACAGCGAGGAACTCCTTTTCTCCTACCGTATAATTCAGCTGAGCTGTGTTGAAAGCACCAGACTCAATAGCTACCGGGTGTTCTTGACCAGCCGTGTTGATCTGCGAAATTATGAACCCCCAGCCGAAGAACGACGCATCTGTCTGTAATATCGTCTTCAATGTAGGGTCAAAATGGGCTAATACCGGCGCAGTACACATCCTAGCCTTCAACTCTTTGAAGGCTGACTCCCGTTCGACTCCCCATACAAATGGTACCTCCTTCCTTGTCAAGTCATTGATAGGTCTAGCAATCTTCGAGAAGTTGGGGACAAAGCGCCTGTAATAGCTTACAACTCCAATGAATCCCCTTGACTCTCGTAGATTCTTAGGACGTGGGAAGGAAGTGATGGCATCAATGTATTCTGGGTTCACCGATACACCTTTAGAGGATACCACGAAACCTAGAAACACCACCGAATCTCTTTCGAACTCGCACTTACTAGCTTTCACGTACAGGCTCGCCTTCCGCAGTACCTCAAAGACCTTCGCCGTAGTTCCTCGTAATTCCTCCAACGTATTCCCATAAATGAGGATATCGTCAATGTAGACCACGACTCCATTCCCTAGTAGCTCTCTAAACACCTCATTTAGGAAGTGTTGGAAGACCGCGGGGGCGTTTCGCAGCCCATCACGAACAACCAGAGATTCAAACATACCATACTGTGTCCTGAACGCCGTCAGGTGTTCATGTCCCTCTGTCACCCTCAACAATTGGTATGCTCCAATTAGATCTAGTTTGCTGAAATACCTTGCTTTTCCAAGTTCTTCGGTAATTTGACCTATTAGAGGGAGAGGGTAGGCATCTGGTATGGTCGCTTCGTTCAGTTTTCGATAGTCGATGACCATTCGCCACTGTCCTTCGGCTTTCTTCGGTATCATAAACATTGGTGAGCCGTATGGCGAGTTACTTGCCCGAATTCGGCCAGCGGCAATTTCGCGATCTAGTATGTCTCTCAGCGCGCGTCTCTGATCTTCTCCTTGAGCATAGAGGGAGGCGACCTTAAGGTTCGCCCCCTCCTTAAGCTCAAACTTCAAATCGTAGGACCTTGAAGGGGGAAGGGTCTCTCCTCCCTTCTTCGGATTAAAAACGTCAATGTACTGGTGGTATTGTTCAGGAACTACCTGGAACAACTCGTCTTGTTCCTCCGGGCTCAGCTCTTCAAGCTCATCTTCGCCGCGGAGGTCTATCGCGTCCGTCAGAGTCGGCAGCCCTATGGCCGCTAACTTCGCCGCACTTGGTGGGGTTGGGATGGGAAATTTCACCGAGTTGTCTCTTCCATCAAGGACAACCCCTTCCTTCCTCATCCAATCCCACCCTATCACAACATCTGCGTCGCAGAGCGTTGTTACATCGAGACAAACAGATCGCACTTCGGCGTCCTTCGTCAAACTAAATCCGACTTCGACAAACTCGGTGATGGGTCCAGCGACACTCACCGAGCCGTCGAACATGTGAACGGGTACGCTCACCTGATATCGTCTCTTTTCTACACCTATCTTCGCTGCTGCCTTAGGGCTTATATATGAACAAGTAGCTCCAGTGTCCCAGAGCGTAGTTAGCTTTATTCCATTAATGAAAATGTCCGATTTAGGTTGATCTCTGGAAACGGAAGGGATGAGGAGATGATTATCGACATTGCATGAACAAGGGGTACTGAGTGGTGTATTTTTGTATTCACAATCCTCTGGCTCCATCAGCTGTGTTTCTTTTATGGGTTTGGGAATGGTGGCCGAGAGAATATGGCGGACCCGCCGAGCCTCGCCTACTGCGACAGGTCCTCTTCTTTTCCCTGGTCCTCTTCCAAATCTACTTCTCCTCCAACCGCATTCAAGTTCCTCCTCTGTCCGAGAGGTACTGCGTTCCCTCCCGATCCTCCACCACGTTCTCCGAACTTCTCCCCCCATGGAGGCAACAGTCCAACCTTAACCTTAGCCTCCCTTACAGGGCATTCCTTCAGCCAATGTCCTGCTTCACCACACTCGGTACACTTCCCCTCCTTCCTCCTTGTCTCCCTCAGATCGGAGCTCGGCCTAGGCCATCTTCGGCGAACTTCGTCGATGTTTGGCGGTGTACTCTTTACCACCGTCGACATCATAGCCGCCTGGACACCACCCTGCGCCGAAGGTTGCCCCTTTTCCCATTTCTTCTCTTCTTTCTTCTCCGTCCTCTGACTTTCCACCACTGTCGTTGTCCTTATCCCTCCTTCCCTTTTCCTCTCTGCCTCCTTCTCCACTTGTCTCCTCCACAGGCGGTTGTCCAAGGGGATCACAAACTCCAATAGCTCTTTCACAGTCCCAAACGATCTACCGTGTCTTGCAATTTCATCTAGAAGGTGCGATTTTAGTCCTTTCTTGGCTCGGTCAACTAGGTTTCCATCATCAGACCACTTAAGAATCGCAACATGTCGCTGGAAGGCGGAGAAGTAGTCCGAAGCAGACCCGGTTTGCTTGAGGTCGTTAAGTTGTCGGGCCGCAGTTCCTTCTTCGTCTGGATCACCAAAGTTAGTCTTGAGGTACTTAACGAACTGATCGTGTGTCGTGAGGTACTCAGGAAGAGGTCTTTTGGATAGATCGGGCTGCACTGCAAGAAGAGGTGTTTCGCGTAGATGAGAGATCATGAAAAAGACTTTCTTAGTGTCGTCGGGGAAAAGATGGGAGTTCAATTCGAAATGTACGTCGCACTCAGACAGAAAGGCGGTTAACTTGTTCCGATCTCCTCTCCAGAGGTCTGGGTTAGGTAGCTTTATCCCCTTCCGTTGTTCGCCCACTACGCTTGGGGTCGCCGAAGTTTGCCGTCCCATGGCGTACCTCACTCCTTCTGATATCCCTTCTGCAATCCCGCCCACTGTATCCCTTTCTCTTCTCTGTTCCCATTCCTCCCTACGCCTTCTCTCCTCCATCATGTCTTTGTTCATATTCGCCACCATCTGCATCAAGGCCAACACCACCCCTTGTGTTCCTTCTTCTCCCAAGTTCGCCG